CGATCCAAAGTACGTATCCCAAACAATCCTAAGGAATTTTGCTTCCATGTGAAACTTAACGTATCAAAGACTCTCTTCAGTCCATTCACAGTTCTTTCCTAATTAGTCTTCACGAAGAATCGTGTCAGCCCACAAACGTAACGTGGACCAGAACTCTGAGATTCTTGGGTTTGGTTCTGGCTGCAAAGCATCCTTTGATCGGGTCTGGTTGGCTGTAAATAGCTTATTACTTTAAGAGATTCAAGAGAGAAGTAGAGACTTTCGGTGCATCGAGTGGAGGCATCTGGCTGAGATAGAGAGAACTTATAAAAAAAACGAGATAGCAACTCAAACGTTGCTATCACTGGTTTTTTATTTTCTTAAACATTGAAATAAATAGCAACCTTCTTTTCGGAAACATAATTTTTCTTTAGTATGACTTCTCAATCTAGGCTGGTTGCTATTAATGTCAATGTTAAAAAAAACAAAAAAAAAACAAAAACAAGGATAGAAACTCAAACACGTGTAGCCACTAAAAATAACGTTTATATTAAAATCAAATAAATATTTGAAAGGAACGGAAATTTCAGTTAACCTTTTGAGCCATGAGCACCGCTTTACCGGTGGCAGAGAAAAATGACGTAATGCCCAGCCACCGGTTGAACGATTGTTAAAAACTTGTAACCATTTTTATATCTACCGTGAAACATCACATACCATTTATTTGCGAATTTTGATTCAGGAGGTCAGACAGAAGGGTTCAGGAACGCAGGGTTCAAAAGGTCAATGACATTAGCTACTTCTTTCTCATATATGAGAGTGACTCAAAAGTATTTTCATTTTTACAAACCTTTAATTCATATCTTATTTAACGTATATATATATATATATATATATATATATCTATCTATATATATATATATATATATAACGGGTGTTACAGCAAAATTTTCTAAATCTTGTATCTTAGAAATGATTCAAGATATCTTACTGGAATTCTCCGAGATTTTATAACATTATTGGCCGCTACTTTGAGCAGTACGAATGTTTGTTTACTCTCCAGAAGAATCGTGATTAAATCGATCATAAACGAAAATTACATGTTCATCATTAATTAATCATAGCTAAGGATCGGAAACGCATGAAGGTTTGATATAAAGTTCAAATATATATATATATATATATATATATATATATATTTCCAGAATTATTTTCCAACATATTCAAGATGACCTTCGCCCTCACTAACCGTCTAACCTTCTGGCCTGGAATAACAAGGTACCTCACAGGTTTCACGTACTATTTCATTTTCAAGTTTTTTTCATTGCTCTTTGGACTGTCATAGCTGAAACTCCTCTCTCACGAGTCGTACGTCTTATCCTTTTTGCTGTTGTGAACGCTTGATCCAGATTTCCTCTCTACTCTTTTTTAAACATATTCACCTTTCTCTTGAATTGACTTTGAAGATGGAAGCTACAGGATTAATGTTGGTACCATTACTGAATGTCTGAATGATCTTTTTCCGCTTACCATTGCTCAGTTGGGAAGTTATAATGGGGCTAGCACAAAATGATTTTAACCTGTTCTCTTTCTAGCTGAATAACATAAAGGTTTTATTTTCAGTGATTCTTACAAAAAATGGTGTCAAGATGGCTACACGTCTTATCTGAAAACCTGGAAAAAAGAAACTCAATTAGTGTAGTCGTTTTTTACGTATTAAACATTTTGTGGGATGGGCAGTTATGTTGTTACACCTGGTATATATATATATATATATATATATATATATATATATATATATATATATATATATATATACACTGCGTGCGAAATTATTATCGAGATAACTTTTTTTCTAATATTTCAAAAAGCATCCAATCAATTCACACAAAATTTTCACACAATGTTGGCAACACTGACCTGCGCAATCACTGAATAGTACTGATCTGCGCAGTGTAAACAAGCTGGCACCATATTTGTTATCAGCACAGTGATTTCAGCGTGCCAAATTATTAGAAAAGTATAAGAATTTAGTGAAAAGATGGGCTGTAAAAGCAGTTTAAGTGAAGCTGAAAAGAAAACTATCACCTCAGAACTCTCAAAAGGTAAATCTACCCTAGAAATTTCTAAAATGATAGGGAGGTGTCATTAAACAGTGAAAAAGTTCACCGCCAACCCTACACAAGTACGCAAAAGGGCAGATAAAGGCAAGTCTCATGTCACGACTTAAATGAGAGGCCACGAAGAACCCTGGACTCACCAGTCAAGAGCTTTTCAGTCGCATTGGGGATCCTACTGTGTCTAAAAGTACTCGGTGTCGGTATCTGAGGGAAATAGCAACAACAGTCAAATCTGTATCGAAGCCTCCGTTGACGAGAAATCACATTCAAAATCGATTGAAATGTGCCGAGGACAATATGAAGATTGACTTCTCTAAAGTTTTGTTCACAGACGATGGTGGAAAGGCTGGATAATGAACGGAGAGAATCGCCATCAGCGTTTGACACGCTAAGGCGGTGGAGGCATAATGATATGGGTTGGTATTATTGGAAAAACATTAGTGGGCCCATGGAGAGTACCAGATGGCGTCAAAATGACTGCTGGTGCATACATAGCGTTTATGAAGAAGCATCTTGAACCGTGGATGAAAAGGCAAAGAGTTGCCTTCAGAAGGGCCATTTTTTATTCAAGATAATGCACCCTCACATGCTGCTCACAAGACTACTGAATATTTGAAACAGTTAGGCTTTGATGGACTTCGTAAAATGAAGTGGCCAGCAAATTCTCCGGATTTGAACCCAATCGAAAACCTTTGCAGCATCATGAAGCGAAGACTGTACGCCAACGGATGACAATTCAGGAGCAACGCTGAGTTGTGTGAAGCAATTCATGACATATATCGCGGCATTTGTTTACATTGCGCAGATCAGTACTAAAATTTCAGTGATTGCGCAGGTCAGTGTTGCCAACATTGTGTGAAAATTTTGTGTGTATTGATTGGACGGTTTTTGAAATATTAGAAAAAAGTTATCTCGATAATAATTTGGCACGCAGTATATATATATATATATATATATATATATATATATATATATATATATATATATAATGATTATCTGTCCTATTCTTATATACCATTTGTTTCAGTATTTACGCTATTTACATTAGACTGTTCGCTCTGGCCTTTTTCACGCATCCTTTATTTATTAATCTACCGGGGTAGATTGTACTAATTCCATGTACCATGACTTTGGATATCTCAGTTGTAGTTAATTCACCTTGACACATTTTTATTCCCTCCGACTCCAAATTTTTGTTCTCTCCGCTGAGGCCAGGTATTGAAATCACAACTATTAGGACCAATCAGCCAAAGCTTTTATCTACTGGACCCATTGTCTATTTTGGGGTGAAATGTCGTGAATGTGACAGTATAGATGAGGACAACAGTCGAAACAACTGTAAATATTGTAAATAATTACAATACCTCATTTCAAAAATATCGACAGACATTTGTTTTAGGTGTTATAATAATGGATACAAATGCAGAAATTCTAGGCATTAATCGCCAAAGATGCTCGCAGAATTCGAGAAGTGGACGGCAGTGAAACAATACCTCATTGGTTTAAACGTTTTAATAGTGGTGTCGTGAAATAATTCCCAGAAGTCAACGGTAATCAGTTGTCGATTATAATGTGAAAACTCGATTACTAGCAATCAAATTTTTTCGGAAGAATCACAAATTTCGGAGACAAATTTCGAAAACAAATTTTTTCAAAAAAAAAAAATTTTCGAAAACAAATTTCGGAAGAATCACAAATTTTCCGAAGAATTTTCGGTAGAATTAAAATGGCTGAAAGGTATCGTATGTAGCGCATAACCTCCTAAAATATACAGGGCTGATTTATTGATTTGTTTTTTACGGATTAGCAACCTTTACAGGTTATTTAAAGCCAAAAAATATTTTTAGATTGAAAGAATTTTTTTGAAATCATAATAATTTACTGACACAAGTACTACGAATTAAGCTGGGATGAAAAGAAATGGATTCATATATTTCATAATGTTATTTAGTCATAAGGGAATATGACGAGCCCAATTAAAATTGGAAATCGGCTCCCGAATTCTAAGTCCTAGCTGTTAGCCATTACACTACCCGTGCATCCAAGCTTACAGACTTGGTATTTCCAAGCGGTCACCAATCTAGATACTGACCAATCTGGACGTTGCTCAAATTCGGTGATAGTACGGGAACCGCTATTTCGCCGTGATATGACCTAAACTAAAATATACAGAAGGAAAGAAAAACAATTTTTTATACATTTCAATACAACGTTCTTTATTGAAACATCAGAATAATATGAAAGAATATAAAAAAAAATATGAATGGTGTCTGATTTTCGACGGAATCATTTTTCTCACGGCAATATATTTAGATATATAACAAACTTTGTGTAGAATATATATATATATATATATATATATATATATATATATAGAGAGAGAGAGAGAGAGAGAGAGAGAGAGAGGAGAGAGAGAGAGATAGAGAGGGAGAGGGAGAGACTGAATGAGAGAGAGAGAGAAAGAAAGAAAGAAATCGGCAGAAACAGACACCCGACAAAGAACAGAGCCTTAGCGGCAAAGAGGATGCGGGAGAAATCATCTGTATCAAAGCAAAAAGTATGAATTGGTGGGTCCAGATGCCAATCAGAATGATTGAAACCGGACTGCGAAAGTTTACACTCAAATGTGTAAGTAAACACACACACAAAGACACGCGCTCGCGCGCGCACACACACACACACACACACACACAGATATATATATATATATATATATGACAAGGCAAAAAGGAGCATCTTTTCCACACTTCAGGCACCGTAAACTGTTTCTTTCAAAAATCTCCTGAAATTTTGACACTCCTCCCGTCCTATCCCTAAAAGCCACCCAGTTGGGCCGACCTACTTCGCTTTTGTGGAGTGGTTCCAGATTGGATTTATCCGAAACACTGAATGTCTCTTTAGATCGAAAATAACGATGTTCGTGGCTTTTCTCTGTCTGTCTGTCTGTCAGTGAGTCAGTCAGTGAGTCAGTCAATCTATCTATCTATCTATCTATCTATCTATCTATCTATCTATCTATCTATCTAAAAAAGTTGATTTATCATAAGATATAAGCCAAAAGCATAAAATGCAACAAACATACCGATTGTGTGTCACTGAGATTTGTATTGATAGCGCAGATAAATATACATACAGCTATTTCAAATTATCTGTAATATATATATATATATATATATATATATATATATATATATATATATATATATATATACGCGTTTTCATTTGGTCTTTATTCATATTATCCTATTATAGATATATTTTTAGTTATATCGGAAATTTTACACCTACACACACACACACACACACACATATATATATATATATATAAAGGTGTAAAATTTCAGATATAACTAAAAAATATATTTGTAAAAGGACAATATGCATAAAGATCAAATGAAAACTTAGCTGACGCGTTTCGTCTTCTGGTGGACTTTATCAAGGCAAATGTATTGATAACGTCTATCAGAGGGTGAAACGCATCAGCTAAGATAAGTTTTACTTTTGCCTTTATATATATATATATATATATATATATATATATATATATATATGTGTGTGTGTGTGTGTGTGTGTGTGTGTGTAAGGTAAATTATTTGTATTTGTAAAGGAACAAAATGAATAAAAGACAAGCGGAAAAACTATTCTGTGCCAACGCGTTTCGTCCTCTAAGAGACTTTATCAAGGCAAATGTAGGATTTATTTTGTTACACGTGTTTGGATACAAGAACAAGAATGTCATTGGGTCACAAGGGCTTTTAAATTTGTAAATTATTCGCTTGATTTTGCCTTACCAGACTTTGAATTATGGCATTTTGTGTCCTTCACATGTTTTGACTGACCTTTCAACCACCTGATTAATATTCATGAATTTTTCATGAATCAATTTTTAGGAAATAGATTACTGTTTAATAAATAAGTAAAAATAGAGAATTTACTCAAATATGAATATACATTTAAAATAATCTTTAAACAAATAAATTAAAAATATATCGGATTTAATCCACTTCCAAAAAAATGACTGTTAGGGAACAAAACAGAGCAGATACGTGTATTTTGAGCATCGGAAAGATATGTGTTCAAAAGCACTATTCGGGAGTTGTTTAATCAGGAGGTACGACGTAGCCGAGTTGGCGTAAGGCACGTCAGATATTATGACAGTTTCCCCTATGGGCCGTAGGTTCGAATCCTGCCGGGCGGGGGTATCCATTTAAAATAACGTTTAAACAAATAAATTAAAAATATATCGGATTTAAACCATTTGGTAAATATATATATATATATATATATATATATATATATATATAAAGAAATATAGTCTTAAGGTGTGCTATATTTATGGGATAAAGTGCTCAATATCAGAGATAGAGCGTGTGTAAATATAAAAGTGAACATAGAAGTCAACACTTAGAGGCGACAGTCTGTTTCATGCTATATGCAATCGTCAGGCCACGTGTGCTGTTATTTTTCTCGGCTATTTATATATATACGGGTTAGTGGTGCATTGTGGGTATTCTATTATGGCGGTTATTTTTACCGGAAGTCGCTTTGTTCATTTATTTGGGTCAAGTTATATTGCTCGTTTTTATTTATTTTTTTATTTTATTTTATTTATTTATTTATTTATTTATTTTTTTTTGTTTCTTATTTTATTTATTTATTTATTAACGTAGTAAAAATTTGTTTATATCACGTATTTAACAGTTTTGTTTTAGTTTGAGAATTTAATTAAAGCTATTTGTTCAATTTTGGGGTTGGTTGTTGTAGTTCATTCTAACTATTATTTTTTTTTTGCGGAACAGTTTTTTAATTTGGGATTGGTTTGCCTATTTATTTACTTGGATGAATTTAGGTCAATTTATTTTTATATTTTCTCTTTTTGGTTTTCGGTTTTTAAGCAACATAGTACTTATTTATTTATTTTATTTATTTATTTTTTTTTTTATTTTTTTTTATTATTATTGTATATGTTTTTATTTTATTTTTTCCGTTTTTCATTTTTTAGGTTACGTAGTAAAAATTTATTTTCATGCCTGCATTTTGAGATGAGCTCGGATCTTTTATTTAATAATTTATTTTGGTCGGGGAAAGTAATGATAGCTATTTTTTCCTCCAAGCAAAGTTTGCAAGTTTTTGATTGGTTGTTGTAGGCTGATGACTTTTTCCTTATCTTCCAAGATATTTTTGGTGTGATGTGCGTTTTGTTTTTTATTTCCCAGATATACTTAGAAAGCGTAGTACAAAAACGCACATCATATATATCAATATCAATGTATGTGTGTGTGTCCGTTTGTCTATATATCAATATATATATTTTCCACAGTCGATAGAGTTAAAAGGCGTCTCAGCGTCCTTGTGGGTGATGAATTATTTTCCACCCTAGTACCCCTTTCGCACAGACGAGTTGTGGTAAGCCTCTCGCTGCTCTATCGCTATTTTCATGGGAAGCGTTCAGATGAACTAGATTCCTTAGTTCCACCTGTTCTATCCTTCACAGCTAAGACTCACCATACCACGCACATTGTACTGAACCACACCCATTCCCATCGTATTCCACTGGTGAGAGGTAAGTTCTACTCGAGCACCTTCTTCCCACAAGCAGCCGCTTTGTGGGACCGACTCCCAAGAGGATGCTTCACCGATCACTACAGTCTTAACCTGTTAACCGTTATCTTAAATTTCATGTCTCATTTTGTAACCATCTACCTTGGGTGGTTCTTGTAGAGGGTGAACGTAATTGTAAGAAAAAAACTTGCCTACTAATATTCCTTAATATATGCATGTATATCTCATGTGAAGTAGGTACCTAGATATTAAACTATAATAGAAGGACCACGAAAAATTGTGTTGTCAATATATTAAACATTAAAAGAATTTAATAAATTTCGAGTAATAATCTTTCATTGTTTGTGTTTATACTTTATATTAATTTTTTTGAAAAATTCATTAAAAACAAACATCATAACGCTTTTGTTTGTCAAGATATATGTATACATCGGTATATGTGTGTCTATGTATGATCTGGTAAATTTTTAGCTATGTCTGCGCGTTCCTTTTTCGGAGAATTCAGGAGTTGATTCAATCACAGAAACTGCGCATCCTCAGAAGACCGGAAGTTCTAATTACACAGCCACTATCCGGCCGTCAGATAAAAGCGGAAACTGTAGGTGAGCATGCGTCACCTACCTAAAACTGAGGTTTCCGCACTGCTGTTGCTTCTGGTATTCTCTTAACCTTGTTGGCTTCATACAAAAATCCTTTTATCTCAATCTTGGCGTTCCTGCTTGTCTCCCACGATTGTCTACTAATTCACTGGAAGCAGTTCGAATGTTCAATCTTAAAGTAGAGGGCATGGTGACCAAATAACTCAATGGTGAAATCTTTGAAATAAAAGTCAATTTAATAAGAAAATAAAAAAGAAACATTAATTTTAAGTTGGATTGAACAGCACCAAGTGAGGCAAAAGGCAATGGGTGTACTATTTAGGTAAACCAGAATTTGTAGCTTCTAGATATATAACTGAAGTGTAACCGTCTTTTACTGTTTAAGATACAAAGAAAACATTTTATTTTTGATAGGAGACGTTGTTTGTTAGAAAAAGAATAATTATATAAATATTTAATTTAACAGATCCACCATACTGGAAATGTAGCTATTTTGTGAAGCTACAAAATAAAACTGAAAATACAATATTAGTGAAAAATCACGTATCGTTCGAAAGTTAATGAAACTGCGCAACATGAAAGCCATATCTATAATGTGGGAATAGTTGCAATTAATAAAACGGAAGAAACCAATTAAAATCTATGAAAATATTTGTGGAATTTGCTGGAGATCAAAATTATTAATAAAGATTATAATACTGCTTGTTTGTGTATATGACAGTCACACATTTCTACCATTTTTTAATCAAGCAAAGCAATAAAAACGTAAAGTGTTACTGAGTGTGAAAGAATAAGAGAAAAAGGAAAACAAAACAATATTATTAAGCAGAGAGAAAAATAAAATAACAAGAATTTAGAAAACAGAATATAACGATTATCATTGTATTTCAAGATCAAATTTGACTAGAAAACAAGAGGCTGGAAGAGTCTTCCATAATCTTAGAAATGCAAGAGAAGACATTTTTAACAAAGAACTTATGGTTACATTTAAAAATTTCTGCTGCTAATCGAGTACTTCACTTAAATTCGTTAATCGAGGTACCAAAAAAGAAAGTTTATCAGGATAATTACCATGATAATATTTATAGAAATAATTACAGGGCATCTATGTTACGGCGGTGGGAAAGTGACTGAAGCCAAGATGCTAGGTCAGGAGCAATAACTTTGCAGATTCTTCTTGGGATTTTATCAAGAATCTCTAAATACATAGCAGAAGCACCGAACTATATATGACAGGAATATTCATGGACAAATCGTAGATTTATAAATATGAAAGATAGATTCTGACGGGAAAATTGTCTAGATCGACACAACCTTGCAGCAGACCTAGCAATTAACTCAATATAATCTTTTCCCTTCATATCAGTAGAAAACGTTAACTCAAGATGGCGCTATGAGTCACTATTTTGATACTGATGGAAGGCGAAAAAAAAAGGTCCTCTAAAACTATTAAAAGAGAACAGTTTCGTATTGGAGTCGAAGTTGAATGTGTAACATCTTTCTGATCACCGACACTTCCGAACTAGAATCTGATCGAGAAATCTATATAATAATAAGAAAAAGAAGAGGAAAGAAGTAGGAAAATGAAAGAGAATAGGAGTTGGGAAAAAGAGGATGTGAAGACGTGAATGTAGGAGGTAAGAAAACTAGAGAAAAAGAAAAAATTAGAGGAAAAAGAAATTATATATATATATATATATATATATATATATATATATATATATAGGAAATAGATTAAATCCGACATATATTTAATTTATTTCTTTAAACGTTATTTTTAATGGCTACACATATTTTCAAAAGCACTATTCGAGCTTTGTTTGATCAGGAGGTTCTACGCGGCCGAGTGGTCTAAGGCACGTCAGA